ATTATTATTATATTGTCCTTTTTAACTTACTTTAAGACATTCATAAGGCTAGTTATCAATGTAAGATGATAGATTGCTTTAAAAAAAAAAAAATATAATAATTTGTGTTGCACGACGTAAAATACGGACAAATATTTGTCATGAGTGCCATCTGTCATGATCGTTGGAACTAAAATTTAATGAAATCATTGAAGTAAATTTTTATATATTCTTATGTTGAGAGGCCAGAAATTCTTAAATTTATAGACCTAACAAATTTTTAGACAACTGAATCAGACAACTTCGTCAACTGAATCAACATCGAATGGTATGGCTTATCAAGATTCATCTCTTGACCTACCAACCAAATTAAATGGTACATTCCTGTACATTTTCTAGAAAATTATACTAATACCCCCATGTTCAGACGAAAGGACAATGCGTGACCGACCGTCTCTTAAAGAGTTAAATTGTTCATCATTTAGTTTATTCTAAGTAAATATAGCATTGAAAGTGCTTAGCTTTACTTAGGTTTATTGAAAATTAGACTACACTGATTAGTATTAGTTATGACTGTGGCTAAAGAGTAATAAGGTTAGTTTAAATTAGGTCACCTGCAAGATATTAATATTAGTGTATTTGTATAATTTTCATTCCATTGAGATATAAAAGCTATCGTATTGTTGAATTTGCAAATTTGATTTATAATTTTTTCAATATCTATCCCTTCGGTATTTTCGTGTATTCAATTATAAAAAATATAAGACTCCAAGTATGAGCGTCTACGGCAATCGGATTTGTTGGTAAGTTGGAGCGAATGAGGAGAGAGAACAGGTGCGAGAGATACGGGCCCGTTCGCACAGTCCATCACCGATGCCTTCAATATTTGTTGTAGGATCAGCGAAAGCTGAGAGCAATATGCCGCAGCTCCTCTCAAATTCATCCCCATCCACGTTCACTCGAAACAGCGTATAAAAATTACTTCTACACGGGAAATTCAAGGAGCTCAGGAAAAGTACAAAACCGAAGATATAATAAAAGAGATGAAAGAGTACATACGTTGCTGCAAACTTAATTTAAGTAAAATTATTGATGGGCTTCCTTCTCCTACTCTTCCCGAAGAAGCCGTCAGTGCGCAAAATGATTTATATACTTTATAACCTTCTTCCGTATTTATCGTGCAGGTAAATGCATAAACACGGCTTATAAATCATCGCCGTTTCCTCGGCTAAAAGTAACGAGTGGATATATGTTAACTAAGATATTTCCCTTTCTGGAGCGTCTCGGTTCCATTTTATCCGAGAGGAAACTCCGTCGATCCATCAATAAGGCACACACTGCCGCGACTCTCGCTCATCTCCATCTTTCCCACACTTTCCACATACATAACATCGTCTAATCTAAAAAGATTTTTCGTTGGCGAAGAAAGAGCGGAAAATGTTTCGCTGTATGATCGAGGTTCGACAGTTACCGTCATCGCGGAACATTCGTCGGAACGACCGACGTTATTTATGTCCATTTGCATTTCAATCGCGCGAATATCACGCTAAATCTTTTGTTGCGCCGCGCAAGATGACAAGATGGAAATTCGAAACCGCCACTGCTGTTCCGACACCTCTCTCATCGCAACGCGACGTATCCTTTTATATGGTTGTTGTTTGCTGGCGGATGAAGCGACGGCGGGGGCGGCATCGTATTCCACGAAACGCGACTCCGACTCCGGAGAAAATATCAAAAACAATTTTTCTTTTTCGATTCACCCCGCGACAATAACCGCAACCCCGATTCAAACGGCAAGCATAAAATACAAGTCGGATTGCTTGAATCCGGGTACGAATAACTCACAAACGTAAACTCACATTTCATAACATCCATAGTACCGAAAGTCGTCACAGATGGCGCTGACATATATTTGTTTGTTTTACATCAAGATACGTTTTAGTCGGAAACTCGTTCGAATTGAACGTGGTGTAAATTACATTTGCAATTCGGAATTCATAGTATTCACAAATTGATGATCTAATTACTTTATGTTTTTAGAAGCTTAAATATATTAAATTGAATTGAAATAAATCATTATTTCATTATTCAAGGAAATTACAACATTTATTTTGAAATGTTCATTGAAATTTAGACTTTTCTTAATAATAGTTGTCATTTTATTATAAAATACATCTTGAAGAAATGAAATATTGATCTAGAAACACATTTTTACCAAAAAAATCTTTAATTGAACTTCCAATGCGTGTCCCACCACCCCTCAAAGAGTTCCTTTAAAAATTCAAATTTTTACTCAAATCGGAAATATCTAAATATAATTAAAATTTTCAAATATTGCTCTCAAATGTTCAGTTAATTGACGAATAAAATCGAAAAGTTATTAGGAAAATTAATTGCGTATACAATTACGTTCGACGAAATATAGAGTGACGTTAATAGGTATGTAAAGTGTTGTACGTTTGCGTTTGAAACTTGATTAGTGGTTTCCTTTTGATCCAATAACGGAGATGCGATTTAGTTGTTTCGATTCGGCCGCTCTCGGTCGATCGTTTTGCGCCCTAATTCGTTTAAGGGTTGGTGTGTTGTAGAGGGTGCATGGCGAAGAGGGTGTTGACCGACAAATATAATGCGATTTGATTAATGAACACAGTCTTACTGCGGACACGCCGGTAATTATTTAGCGGAATCAAATGTCAGGGGTGCCAACCCGAAACCTACTATCACCCTGCTGACCCCGCGGGGATTCGACCCACCGTTTCAGATTATGTGCCTTAAAAAGGATTAACGACACTTTATATACACGTTGGTGTGCGGTAATTGCCTTCCATCTGTATCATCATTTATATCAGTACATTCCGGTTGCAATTTCAGTGGTTCCCAAACTGCAATTAATACGAATTAGAAAGACAATATTTCAGTACAAGTTTCCACGGATACCGTGCATTGAAAAAGCCTTCATATCGCTACTTGACAATTAGTTTGTCTTTGTGTCTGGAAAATTGTTGAAAAGAAATTTATTAAAGAATTTAGTTTGAATGGAATTTTTTTCGAAAGGAAATTTGTTTGAATGAATAGTTTTTGGTAAAATTCCTTCGGATATTGTCTAACAGCATACAATAAAAAAAATGTAGAATTTAATATATAAAATATTCAAACAAATTTGTTCCATTCGAACATATTTTTTCGATCGTACTGGGGGATTGTGCACAGTGGGTCTAGGATTGAAGTAATTTTAAAAGTTATTTCCATTCAATTATACAGTGCACAATAAATTTATGTAGTGGCCTTGAAATTGTCAAAGGGTAACATCCGACTGTTGATCTTTCAAAGTTTATTTCCATTGTTGTTGCCAACTGCGTTGTGTGGAAACGCTCAATTAAATTTGCATTAATGTTGTTTATATGTTGGACGGTCAAAGCTGACCGGAACGACGTAGTGTGGGTCAGTTCGCTCGTGCAGCTGCGATATAAATAAGAAGGGTTCGCACGTAACCAGCACGTGCATAATTGACAAAAGCTGTTGCGAATACGTCCATCGATGTTTCAACAAGTTTCCTTTGAATTCCACCGTACGCAACGCAATTGGAATCAAGTGGAGCCGAACAATCGCTCCATTCTTTACAACAATTACATCACACGCTCACCGTACCTGGTTTAGTAATTGAGACAATCTATGGATTTGCATTGTTAGTAAGTAGAATCAAGTTAATTGATTCAATTTAAATTAAATAAATATATTTTAAATATAAATGACTAAATTATGAAAAAAAATATTGGATTATTAGAAATTATATTTGTAGTTTTAGTTAAGAAAGTTGTTTCAAATTTTATATTAATTATTAGTTAAATTAAATTTTACTTTGCAGTTGATTATGTATGCTTACTTGAAAATGAAATTGGTTGTCTATTTCAAAATAGCCATTAGCAGACGTGTTGAATCAATATAATTTAAAAGTCTAATCTAATTTCAAATACTCAACCAACATTTTATGAGAAAATATTCTTTGATTCACTTAAAAGTTGATTATGTTTGATTAAAGATTTAGAAGCAAACATATGTAAATGAATATTAGGTTGCTTTACGAAGAATATGCAATTTTGACTGAATATTCCTTTACAAAAACGGATTAAACCAACGTTTATTTACAATTCTGATGGGTAGATGATTGGTTAAGTATGAATAGTCAATCAACATTTATTGAGCAAATATTTTTTCTGCTAGTGAAAATAAATTGTATAACGTTGTCACGTATTTAAGGTTGAAGTTGATTATGTTTGTCTAAAGTTATTTGGTTGCCTAATTTACAATAGTCAACCAAAATGTGTTTAGTAAATTGGCAAAAATAATGTATTTTGGTTAAAAAGAATGGAAATGCTCCATTCAGTAGACCTGTCGCAGATTTGAAAGAAGGACGTTGATTGTTTCTTCCTGCCTGTGTAGTCAGAGATTTTCATGGAAACAAATAGATAGAAAGTGCGCTTGCTTTGTGTATTTTTGTATGTAAGAGAGAGAGAGAGAGAAAACGTTGTATATCGAGAGTGTATTTCCGTTTCAGTCGATGGAGAACGTATTTTGCGGTTTATAGAAATAAATGGGATATATTTTCGGTTATTGGTCCATTTGACATGACAATTCGGTCGCAGCGTTTCATCCCGCTCTGGCATATATACAATATTTAAATCGAATTTTGGTCGTAGCACGACATGCGGTTGAGCAACAAGGCTAAAGAGGGGGAGGACAAACGTCGTCCTCCTCCAACCCCTTCACGTTCTCATTTTGTCTGAAAAGATATAGAGAGAGAGAAAGAAAGGGTAAAAAACAAAAACGAAGAGATGGCGTTTTGGAACGTAAAAGTTTTATTGGCGACTGTTCGATTCCTTAGTTGAAATTTAAATGGAATGGATTGCCACAGAATTGAGATTAATAGTTTGCAGCGCCAAACAAGCAATCGCACTTATTTTTATATACGGATCCTCATAAATCATTAACGGCTCAAATGGACTTTCACTTCTTTTCGCGCCTTCTCGGTCTTCGTGCATCTCCCGATTGATGATCAATCCAGTTGGAAACAGTCCATAAATCAAATAGGATTTACCAAAAACAGAGAGCGATAATTAGCACAAAACCGGATCTAATGAACCAAACTTACTTAAAAATTTTAGAGACGTTTGGAAAGTTTTTACATAATAAAACTAATATTTTTACTATTGATTCAAATTCTTCTGCTGATTGATGTGTCATGTCAGGGCATTTCCAAACAGTGTGTTCCTTTCTCCCACAATTCTGACATTTTGGTTCCAAGTCAGTGGTGTATGTTTCAGCACTATTTTCTACTCTAAATTCATCAAAATTTGAGTTGCATGTCTCATATACATGGATGGATGGCAGTAATGTTGCTTCCAATGCTCTACTCGGCACTGTTGAGTAGCTCATATAATTGAAGTAAAAATCCTCCTCTATCAGTTTGTAATAGTTTTCCGCTTGACCCATAATAGTTTGTATGCTAGTGTTTTTTCTTGTTGTTCGTGATATTATCCTATACAGAATCTGTATCCGATGCCCATCCTCAACAGAGCATCACTGACCTCAGAATGCAAAATCTCTTTTGATATATTTCTTTATTATCATTTTGTTTGTTACAAATCTTTCTAATTCCTTGTTTATATTTATGTTAGTTTTAATCATAACATCAGTCTTAATTTGTATTATTTGTTCTTTATTCCCATCACCATCCAACTTTTCTACCATAATTCGTCTTGAAATACTTTCTTTTGTTTTTAAATAATAATGGAAGATATTCAGTTTTTTCATTATATTTGTTCATTATTCCCGTCACCATCCAACTTTTCTATCATAGTTCGTCTTGAGATACTTTCTTTTGTTTTTAAATAATAATAATAATATATTCTGATTTTTCATTATATTTGATTTATATTCACTCTTTGAAGTTGTTCATTTTCATGTGGTTGTTATCTTTGCTGGGTTTTTATATTTTCTTGCTGATGTGCTTTTATTAGTGTTGTTTGTTGTTGATTAATTTGTTTTCATTATATGTATCAGTTATTATGTTTTTTAATTGATCGTTATATAAAAACATCTAGTTATTGTTTATACAATTTACTTACATTGGAAATTTTACAATGTAATGAAAATAAACTCTAGCGGGCCAGTGTTGGCCCGCGGGTCTTAGTTTGGGATCCTAATGATTACGGCCATTTGTTTGTCACTAATTTATATTTATCGGTCCAAACTAATTATAATTGAAAGTTAACGTGTATGACAATTTAATGAACTATCCAAAAGTATATAAGTATAATTTAATATTTTCAAATGTTTTTCTTGTATTTGATCTCAATTTTATTTTAGATACTTTGATATTGTAGAAGTTTCGTATCAAGTGAAATTTTATTATTTTTCTCTCTTCTCGGTTTGTTGCCAAAAGAAAAAAGTTTTTCGTTTTCTTTCTTCATTTTTTTTTTTTATTTATTTATTTATTTTGGTGCCCCTTTTGTATGCGTTTGCGTAAATCTAAATAAATCGAGAGAAGGGCGAAGTTATAACAATATGCGCCCGGGAACGCAATATTTCGCAATATTGTCAAGTTTTCAAGTTATATAAAATCAATTTTCCGTTTCGAGTTCGTGTGGCGCTAAGTGAAATCTTGTAAAAGTCTCGGGTTTCGTATAGGGGGTCCGCATGTTTGACAGCTGCTCTATCAGAAAGTACGTCCTCCAGGGGAATTAAACACGGCTCCCGCGTTTTCCATTTGGAACCGCTGCGAAGAAGAGGACGACGACGTCGGGCAACCTCCGCGACAATACAAGCACAAAACTTGTGCAGAAAAAAAAACGAGACCCTCGCAGAAAATATAAACGGAACGCATTTCGCACGACGTTTCTTCTAATTTAATAGTTTTGCAAACGACGCACGGCTTACTTTTATTTGGTGGACTGGTTATAATTTTAAATCCTGGAGCATAATTCGCAGCCGACGAGGAAATAATTTAACGAAACGAATCTTAATAAACTCTCAATTCTCAAACAAAGGAGATTTTTTTTTTATATATTTATATTATCATTGGTTTAAACTACTCAAATTATTCAATAAATATATCAAATTAAAAATAAGATTGTGTAAATAACTATAATTGTCATAAAAGTAATGTAACCATTTTTCAAATACATAAAAAAAGTAATTGACAAGTTGCGTATAGTATTTACGTAATCAATATATAAGACTATTTTATTAGTAAACAATATTATTTTGAACTTTCTTATAGGTTGAAAAACGACTTCCCACTTGGAAGCCCCTAACACTACATTTGCTATGTCTTATCAACGCCGGACTTTAGTAACAGTTGTTACTAATTTACTATTACCATCAATTACAAAGAATAAGTAATATAATAAATAAAGATGTAACAATAAAAACGACATGTAATTTTGATCTATTCCGCTTTATTTTCCAAATTTGATTGATGTTTAAAAAATACATCATAATAAGGTTGCATTTATTTGACTGTTGGTATATTTTGTATTTGCTTGTGTGTGTTGCTGGTTGTATGTTTCGGTGGCGTGTGTGAGTAGTTCTTGTATTTAAGGCAGCGGTTAATGTTCTGCCTTTCGCCGTTATATATGTATTAGGTGGATGGGTGGGTGAAATATTTCGGCTGCGGCTTAAGGATGAAACATCCATCAGGGACGGTTTCCGCGTCCTCCCAGGACCATATTTCAGGGCCGCCCACGACCCTTCGGAACAATAAACAAACTATGCAACCTTCGTGCTCCGCCTCCACCCACTTTGGACTTTCTAGGCTTTCGGCATTGTGCAGCGGGCGCATTGTCCGGCTCCAATTAATTGCACGCTCCAGATGATGATGATAATCATCATCATCATCATCATCACCATTTTCATCGAAAAGCATTGACGAAAGCTCAATTACATTACGTTAGGTCTTTGATGAAGTTAACTCAATGTCGGACCTTCCGATTCGAACTTCCAAGATCTACCTGTCCCGTCTTGTCTGCCCTATCGCCGTCAGCCATCGACGCTCCTCGATCTGAAGTGGAATGGGGGGCGGCAAACCCTCTTCTCGCACTACCACCACTCCTTTCATTCCGAGAACTTCGATATTATCAGATTTGCCTTCAGACTCCATTGACTCGCCACGCTACATTTGCGTTTCATCTAATTCCGAGGTGTTCGAGGGAACATCTCTTAAGGATGAAAAGATTCTTGCGATTACCTTTGAGTCCATATTTTAAAAGGAGGCCGAAGGCGGCGGCGTTGGCGGCTGCAAATATAATCACGACTTCTCCTTTTCCGCCAACCCCTTTTATTCTGCACGAAAAGAGAGAAAAAAAACGAAATACGAGATTTGTGGAACGAGATTTGGCGTAATTTAAATTAATGATTAGCGTATGCGAATTTCGACAAAAAAATATATATAGCAAACGAAAATTGAGATATGTATTTTTAAATGCGGCAAAGGCTTTCCTCCTTTCACTTTTTTTTTACTTCTTCTTGCGATCCCTCTGTTCCTGGACGATCTGTATTCAAATAAGATTTTCCCATCTAGTTACGACCCGACGGCTGTTTTCCTTTCATTTTCTCCGGCAAAATTTTAGCATAAACGATTCTGCTTCCCACCACCATTAATACCACCTCAACCGACGCAATTTCATTCTTC